CCTGGGCCTCTCTGGCTTACTCTCCAGGCCAGGTAGTTTCTGCACCAGGTGGGAGGCGCACCTGTGAGACGGGGTTGGGGGGGGGGGTTCCCCCAGCACCTAGCGCCATTCAGGAAAAAGGGAAGGTGAGATCCACCCATCTCCTTTTTAATGATGTTTCCTGAAGATTCTGGGCCTTTGATGAAGGAATAGGCATTTGGCCTCAGGGTTGTTGTTGGTTGTGCCCAGGTGGCCCTCCTGCCCAGGTTTCAGGGTAGAGGCCTGTTCTGACCAGAATGATGCCCTATTGGGGCCCTCCACCTCCTTCCTGTGCTGAGCCAACATCAGAGCAAGCTGTGTGCTTGGCCTGTGTACGTGTGGAAGAAATGTGTCACCATCCCAGCTGGATAATTAACACCAAAGGGAACCGGGGGATGGGGTCTGAATTCAAAGCTTCTCCCTTGGTAGTTCAGGGTGGAGAGTTGGGGACCAAAGTCCCCTGATGACTAATTGCATAGTGATGTTAGGTTGTGGTTATTAAGTGTTATTGTGAAGGAGAAAACCAAATCCTCATCTAAAGAACCCTACTCACACCCACGATTGTTCATGCCTCAGGGGTCTGTAATAGCACCAGCTCTTGAAGGCTCAATTCCTCACAGATCTGGTGTCTCGTTTAGCCTTTCCCCTCTGAAATCAACAGGCCATTATTTTGTAGTCCAGGGTAAATTGTCTCCTACCCTAACAAAGCAAGGAATAACTCCAGAAAAGCTGGGGAAACCAAGTGCTGCGGGTGGGAGAAGACTGGCCTTCTTTTCCTGCTTTTGTCTCTGCCGCCGGTAAAGCAACCTCAGTCCTTGTCTTTGGGTCTGTGACCCGGGGAGCTGTGACCAAGGGTATGTAACATTACACACACCAAGCCCGACTATCGTTTGGCACATCCGTAGTGAACGGTCAGGCTGCCAACTGGTGCAATCACAGAAGAGATGAAGTCACAAGTGCACTTGTGAAAACTCCGCATGAGCTCACGATGGTATCTCTGAGGAGGGGGAGCAGATGTCCGTGTGTGTGATCGGGCTTATTGATGCATTTTTCATTACTGGCTCACCTTATCCGGGCAGCAGATCTGGAGTTCATGTTGCTTTGCTACCACTTTTCTCTCAGTTTTTTGGCCTGGAGCCATTTTTTTTTACTACAGCTGACACTGTCTCCATAAACAGTTTTATATCTAGAGACCTATCATGTCAGTTCCTATGGCTACATCTCTATACAGTTGACCCTTGAACACCATGGGCTTGTACTGCACGGACCCAGTTATATGTGGATTTTTTTCAGTAAATATATTGGGAAAATGTTTGTGGAGATTTGCCGCAATTTGAAAATACTTGCAGATGAACCACATAGCTTAGGAATGTAAAAATAAATTTTTGAAGGCATGTCACGAATGCATAAAATACATATATGTACATATTTTCTCTTATGATTTTCCAAACTTTTTTTCTCTAGCTGACTTTATTGTAAGAATACAGCATATTAATACATATAACTTACAAGTTATGTGTTAATCAACTATTTATGGTATTGGCTATTAGTTATTTTGGGGAGTCAAAGGTCTCCCAAAGATATATATATATGATTTCAGGAAGGGAGGGAGAGGGAGAGGGAGATAGAAATATCAAATGATGAGAGAGAATCAACGATTGGCTGCCTCCTGCACACCTCACACTGGCGGGGATAGAGCCGCAACCTGGGCATGTGCCCTTGACGGGAATCGAACCTAGGACTCTTCAGTCTGCAGGCTGACGCTCTGTCCACTGAGCCAAACCGTCTAGAGCCTAGTTGGATTTTTTACTTCATTGGGAGCTTGGCGCCCCAAATCCCACATTGTTCAGGGATCAGCTATACTTTATAAAATACCCTTTCACTTTTCCAGGCTCCGTGGTCGCAATGAAATCTGATAAGACTTGTGTAAATTAGATCTCTGAGAGGACCTCTTTTGTGCCTTACCACTGAATACTATTAGAGACAAAATAATAATATTAATTGTTAAAGGGATGTTTTGTGAGAGGTGTCTTTTTGTCATATGTGTATGATGTATTTTTTCCCCTCTGTAGTTTTTTTGTTTGTTTTTTAATTGGGGTGGGGGTTTGTTTTTAGAGAGAGGAAGGGATAAAGAAAAACATCACGGATCGGCTGCCTCCTGCACATCCCCCCACCAGGGATTGAGCCCTTAACCCTGGCATGTGCCCTGACTGGGAATCGAACTGGTGACCTCTCAGTTCATGGGTCGACACTCAATCACTGGCTCAGCTGCCTCAGTAGATTTTTAATATAAAAACCAAATTCCTAAGACAGTCCACGTACTCTTTTTTTAATAGGGGAGTCAAGATGACCCCCACCCCGCAGTGTAGACTTATTTAAGCTTTTGTGGAAAGTGACCATTCCTCCCCTGGTTTGGGGGTATTCATGGAAGGGTGGCAAGCAGAGTCCTCGGAGCCAGTGGGAGGGACCCAGAAGAGCATAGCTGGTCCGCTTAGGGTGACCCTTCCCTGGGTTTAGCATAAAAGTCCTGTCTCCCAGGGAATCCCGGGCCCAGAACTCTAGAGCATCATCCCAGCTGCACCCCCGACATCCCTAAAGTCAAAACACCCCTACGTTCTCGTCTTCGTAAACCTCCCAAGTGAACGACCCCATCTCCTTTGACCTTTGGCAAACTTGAGGACGTTTTGTAACCAAGCGGAGAAATTGGCAAATTGACATCCCCATGCTTCGTCCTCGGGGTCTGAGGCCTTCAGAGCTGGTGTAACCTCGGACAGCTTCACTGGGCTCGGAGGCGGGCGGGACCTGGGAGGCCGATGGCGGGTGACCGCGAGGTGCCTGCCCCTCTCGCCATCCGGACGTCTCTAATCATCTCTGGTTTTCTTTCTTCCTCCTCCAGACCCTCAAACTGACACAAGACCTACAGAGAAAACCCTTTGCCAAATCTGCTCTCAGCAATGGACAGTGACACCGTTTACAGCTTACCCCTTTGTGAGCCCCACGCCATCCTCCCGGCCCAGCAGAGACTGTTAATGCCCCCCCCCCCCGCCCCCGCCCTGGATGAAGCACTCACCCTGGAACAGAACTCTCTCTACAAAGTATGCACATCTTCCTCGTACCTGACGACGCGCCGCCCCGCCCGCCTGCCCGCACAGGACAGCACCCGCCAGCACCGCCCGCCTCGGCCAGAGCGCACCAGGAGCCCCGGGGGAGATTCTGTGGTGTTTTCCTATCGCGATGGTGTATGGGATGTTTTTAAGTGTTGTGTGTTTGTTTTCCTTTGGCTTTCTGAGTTTTCTCACTTGCATTAACTTGCGGTATTTTTTTCTGTTAAAATGTTAACCATTCTTCCCTAGGCAAATGTAAAAACAGAAGGGAAAAATGTAGTTCCCGTTACCATTCTGGCTTTGGGCATCACGAGCGGCTGAGCCCGTGGAACTCCATAAACTAACAAATTACATAAGCGCGAGGGGGATTTTCTTTCTTCTTTTGTCTGGTAGAAAAGGATCCTTTTCTAAAAACCGAACAATGGCACAACTGTTCGCTGCGCGCACCCATCCAGAACCCAGCCCTGCGGAGGGAAAGCCAACGGACCAGGCCACCAGCCCCGTGTGCTTCGGTTCCGAGTCAGGGCAGTCGGGGGACGTGACCCCAGCACCTGGGCTGCAGGGGCCACGTCAGGGTTTGTGGTCCCCTGTCAGTATCGTGACCTAATGCAGTGAACAATGATGTTGGTTAGGAAATGGGGTTTTTTCAAGAAAGAAATCAGCTCGGCTGTCCACTAATTGCCAAATGCCATGAAAGGATTTAGTTATAAGGAGAAAAGAAAAGAAAAAAAAAAAGAGTCCTGTTTTTGCTTTGCAGAAGAAATGAACTCGCAGGGGAGCATCAAGCCGACAGAAAGACATGGGTGAACAGTCCAAACCCGAGTCAGGACAGACCTAGCACACACCCTCGATAATCTCCAGCCTTGTACTGTGTCATCTGATCTACTAGATGTGTATGAATGAGAGGCAATAGCATACAAACTGGTTTTTCCCCCCTCCATATTATTCCTAGATGGTAATTGTCCAAGTGACACAATGGACGTACAAGGTAGGGCAGTTTTGACTTAATTTTTCCCCCCCCACTTTCCTGCTTCTATGGATTTCATTGCGTTTTGTTTTCAAAAAAGTTACGGTGCTGTATAGGTGCTTTCTGTTTAACCAGGAACGTGTGACTATACTGCTTAACCTTCTTTGGTAGACACAGACTAGTTTGGGAACACCTTTGGTACACAAGAAACTGGTGTAACGCTCTGATTTAGGACAGCACACGCATACTTCTCCAAAGTGATATAAGAAGACTCTTTTCTTTGCATAAAATGCACTAGGCATATAAGTGTATAAATACATTTTATCATGTACAGTACAGAAATGGAGCATTCTGCATGGACGTTAGGAATACAGGCTAGTATTTCAGCACAGACCTCCCCGCATGCGTTCTCACCGACGCTCACACCGTGCAGTGGGCACCGACTCCTCTCCACCCACACGGACGTGCCGCCCGACCCCCTGCACCCACCACCGGCTGCCAGGGGCCCCCTCGTGCACCTTCGCTCTATAGTTCCTCTGGGGGTGATGGTGGTGGCGATAACGGCTCCTCGCATAATGGAAGTTCCATTTGGTATTGTCACGCGTCTCTCCCACCTCGCTTGGGTTGTCACGTTTGAACGATGGCCCTGTTGATTTCGCCTTGCCTTTTACTAGATCTGTACATGGTAGTGCTGTTGTGGTTATAGCAGACCGGTAGCCATATCGCTTTTTCTAAACTGCTACAAGTTTATAATCTTCATTTTAAAAGTATGTATAATTTTTAGAAAATGTATTCTATTCACGTGGTCTGCCTGTCAGTGAGGCAGACTTTTGCTTACTATATTCCTTTATAGAACGCTAGCCGCTTCCTTGGTTCTTTGGTCGTCTGCTGTGCACAAGAACTGTCCGGAGTCAGCGAGAGAGGGCTGCCTCCCTGGGTCCCTCAGCAGTGCTGCCTGGGGCAGAGTGTAGCTTAGAGACAGTGGCAGCAGCTGGTGTGGGGAGGGATGGAGGGGTGTTGTATACAAGGGAGAATCCAAAGTGCTTCCAACACGAGAGCCCTGAGAATCTCTCCTCTGAGTTCAGAGAAACAAGCAAACTAACCAAACAGCTATTTGCCTTTACAGTTTTACAAACCCTGGGAGCTACATTGGGAGCAAGCAAGGCAACCCTCCTATGCGTTGTGACTTTAAATGTTGCCTTCCTGTCAGACATGTGACATCTCCTTTATTCTCTTGTCCCCCAGTTTTGTTAGGTTTCAGGCAGAATGTCTCCCAGAGCACCCCAGAATGAGATTATAATTTAAAACAGACAGGGGAGGGACAGAGCGGTCCGAGAGCAGGGCAGCCGCAGAGCAGAGCAGGAAATCGGAGGGGAAGGGGTGCCTGGATTTTTGTTGTTGTTGTTGTTACTGCATCTACATGTAGAGAGTTGTGGAGAGCTGTCAGGGTAAAGTCAAGTGCCAGCATCAGTCCCAGGAGAAGGTCAAAAGGGATAATTAGGCCCATCCAGGATCCCAGCAGCCCACACGCAGCTGGCCACCCATCTGGAGGCCAGCCTCCCCCAGGCCAGTGGGTGCTAACATGGTCAGACTGGGCAGAGGTCCCACACCAGCCCTCTGTCTCTCACCGATACATCCAGACCTGCTTTCAGGAAGGACCACCTGTTGGCCACCATGTGGGGTTCTGAGTGCCGTGGGCCCCTCACCTCGGAGCACCTCAGAGGAACGCTCAGTAGCCTCCAGGGCTGGCTGCTGTCATGGCTGCATCCTGATGAGAACGCTCCGAGGCCACCATCGGCCTCCAAATCAGCTGCTCCGGGAGGCCTTCCCCTTCCTGATGGGAAAGTAGAAGAGTGACTGATGTAGAAAGCATGACATGTGTCCTGTGGCTCTGCTGTTCTCCTCAGGACTCCAGAGCCTTTACCAAAGCCAGAGAAGAGCTTTCTCACAAGCTTTCACCGCCCCAGAGCGGGGACCGAGTGCCGGTGCCAGGTGCCCCGCCAACTGTGAATGCTTCCCCTGGCGCATCCTCCGCCACGATTGCTAAAGCACACTTCCTGCCCGCCGGAGTGTTGTGCAGGCACGTGTGGCACAAGGAGGACTTTGTGCGTGTGGTGTTGAGTTTTGACATTACATGTGTGTGTCACTTCCCCTCCCTGAACTCACTGCCCAGGACAGACAATGCCCAGTCTCAGGTATCCTTTCAGGAGGCTTCCAAACCTGGCCACGAGGGTGGGCACAGACTTCACCACCTCGTGAACCCCTCCCCACGTAAAGGAGGAGGAACATTCAGATCTTAGGATTGTCCAAAGAAACGAGGTCACATAGCCAGCTCCGTTTCCAGCACGGACGCCATGGCCGGGGAGGGGAACTAAAAAGGTTGCCCTTTCTCTCCGAACGCAGAACAAAACCCTGGCAGCTCTGACCTCTGGTTTCCCGTTTCCTGCTGTATTTGAGGAACATGGTATGATTAGGCATTGTGGTGTTTTTTATTATTAAGAGAAGCAATTAAAAAAAAAATGCAATCACTGGCGAAGAGGTACGAAAAAGCCAGCCTCTCGTGGCGGCAGGCAAAGCGAAGGCCTTGTGAGGTCGTGCCTGTCCAGTGAGGTCTGAGAGCAGATGCCCAGGGAATTGAAGAATCTATTATTTTTTATCTAAATCTTTAGTGGGTAACGTTTTATGCAGTGGTAATGAATGAAGTACTTTTCCTCTTGTCTAATTTTGTATGTAGTTTCCTTTGGGGAATGGTAGGTGACAAGGCCTCTGCCACACTCCAGAAGTACACGTGCGGCTGCTTTTTAAAATCGTGTGTCTGGTCACCGATTTCTCCAAAAGTATTTCATTGCCTGGCAATCAGTCTTCTCTGGTGTACTTGTCCTAGCACATGATGTACACAGGAGATGTAAGCAGGTGGGAAGGAGGACCAGAAAATTTAGTTAATATTTTTTAAAATGTATTGTGCGTTTTTTGGCTTCACATGTTGAACTTTTTTAAGAAAAAAAAAAAAGTTGCATGAATGGGAAAAAAAATCTGTATACAGTATCTGTAAAACTGTCTTATCTGTTCCAATTTCTTGCTCATACCACATACAACTAGACTTCACTATGGCCTGTGGCCACGTTCAGAACGCAGAGAGGCACGCAGTCAGTACTTCGGTTTGAAGCGCCTTGTCCTCTCTTCCAAAGCAAGCGCTATGCCGTTGCATCTTACTGAGGATTTTGTCTAGCCATATGTCGCCGTGAATTAACTCTGCCATCTTTCTTTTCAAGAATCAGAGCCAGTTTGATTTGGGAACCTGCCCCTTTCCAAATGAAATAGAGACACAGTCCTTGCTTTCCTTGGCATTTGTACATATTCCCTTGTGTGTTCCATTTAAAACCATAATCTAGTTTGTAAAGGAGATGTTGACGCATGTAAATAAAGCATCGATGACACTTTACCTTGCTCCAAGAAGTCTTTTGTTCTCCCTCCCCCTTTCTCTAACTCCAGTAGTGAAATAGCCGGGTTTTGTCTCACAGTCCTCCCGAGCCTGCGGGGACCTCACAGGCTGCGAGAGGCACAAAGCCACATGCCGCTATCATGAGATCAACCCAGTGAGTCCAGCAGACCTTTTCTCTGGCCCACTCTGACCTCCACAGACAACCAGGCGGTTCAGTAAGAGCAGATCGGTGTTCCTGGTGGCGGTGGCCATTGTGGCTGTGCACTGAGTCATGTTGCCTGGGGGAGCTTTTGAGCAGGGAGGCGGGTCCTAGGTTCTCTGCCTTCACTAAGCATCAGAGGTTTTGACCTGTCAGAGTTGAGCCCTAATGAGAGTCTTCATGTGAGTCTGGCCGATGAACGTTGGTCATGGGCCGTGCCCTCCTGCACATCGAAAGACAAACAATACTCCAAGCTTCTTGTGGGAACAGCATGAGTATTTCCAATGTTTGTGCATGTAGGGGCCCTCAGTCAAATTAGGAGGAACTCCACCCTATTGTAAAATGATTCCTAGTAGCCTGGGTTATGTTTTTTATTTTTATTTTGATAGACATGTTATAAAAATGATTCAGCTCTTAGAAACCCCTTAGGATTAGGTTCAAAAGCTCAGACCACATGATGGACTTTTATTTCAGGTCAATTAGATAAAAATGATTTTAAAGTTTACCTTTTGGGATAAAGTCTACATTGGCAGAGAGTCATGCTTTTCTAAGTTGGCTCTTACCATTGTTTTAATTACCTGTAAAGATACAAACTCACCATCGTCTAACACCCAAGCCAGCTGGGAGAACATACTTCATTTGAGACGGCTTCCCAATTTTGATTCTGTCTCCCAAAAGGTTAAGGATGGAAACCCAACACTAGCTACCGCAAGATTCTCAGGAGAGAGTGCTCCCAAATCAAATAAAAATTCAACTAATTGATAAAGTTCACAACAATTACCAAGTCGATCTCAAGGTCACAGTGGCCAGACCCTGTGATAGGCACCGGGAGAACTAGGCCCCGGGGCCCTGCCCTCTGTGAGTTTGTTCTCTGGGTATATTCTATCTGCTGCACTGTGGTGAATAAAGAACTAATTCTTGCTGACTCTGCCTGCGTCAGCTTTGTGTTTAGAAGAGGAAGAATTTGGGCTAATCTCTCACATACTTTAGGGATTTGCTTTTGCACATATTCAAGTAATGAAGGCAAACCTTTAAGCCAGCAAATGTGACATGCATCAGCCAGGTCACCCAGACCACGCTGGAATACAGCCGTCCAAGGTGGAGGGAGGTAGAATCCATAGCCACTGTCTGCCAGGCACTTCCCTCACTTGGGACCTAGGAAGGTATGGAGATGGCTATGTGGGGGAGGCTGGCGGTGCCCGGCTGCCTCTCAGCTCCACCTGCGGTGAAGAGGGCAGCTTCCATCCCCGTCCAAGAGGAGCAGTGGTGCTGGGCTCTGAGAACGAGACATTGGAGCTGGAGGGAGAGGGGTCCTTCCTCACTCACATGCCAGGAGAAAACTATTAACAGTGTTTCAGATCTGAAGAAACGAGATTGTGAAAACTATGGCCAGACAGAGGTACAAAGAGGTAAAATGCAAAAATTGAAATACTAATTGTGCTGGACACTTTGGGCTTTAACAGTGGGCTCGGGACCTCAGTGTGCCACCAGGGATGATCTGTAACAGCTCCTCAGTCATTCCCTCCACATTCCAAGGCAAAGAGCACTGGAGCCACCGATGCCCAACCCCAGCTGGCAGGCGGCATGGGGAACCATGGCTAGTCCCAGGAGGAGGAGGGCCCATCTTCCAAACCATTGGGCAACTTCCCTAAGGAGGACAGGGCTCCCCAGGTGAGATACGTCCCTTGTATTCTGGCAATTGGATTGTGGGGTATTTTGGTCAGACTTATCTTCCTTTGGGTACTGTATTTTTAAGTATTTTGAAAGGCAATGACTTCACATGATTCAAAAGCCAGAAAGCATATACACTGAGTGACCAGATTATGATGATCTCTGAACAATGAATCATCTGGCCACTCAGTGTATATCCTATATAATAAAAGGCTAATATGCAAATTGTCCCCTTGACCAGGAGTTCGACCAGCAGGCAGGCCGGCCAAGCGCCCATATCCCCTCCCCCTGGCCAGGCTGGCCGGACCCCACCCATGCACGAATTCATGCACTGGGCATATATACAAGCAGGAAATGTTTTCTTCCCATCCCTGTCTAGTTCTCTCCCTACTTCCTCCCACTCCAAAGTTTCTTGTGTACCCTTCCAGACTTTCTTATGCACCTACAATCCATAAAAACAGATTCTAATCCCCAACTTTTATTACACAAAACAATACATTATGCACTCTCTTGGGCATCTTGTTTTGGCAATGATTTCCTCCTAGTAAAGGAGATGTTTTCATAGTTGCATAGCACTCCATGGTACTAATGTATTATAACTCATTTAACCAGTCGTGCCCTGTGGATAGACACGATATTGAACTGTTCCTAAACAGTTGTTATCATCAGCAACACTGCAGTGAATAACCTTAAAACGTATACCGGTATTACATTCACGTACAAGAATCTGTGTAGGACTAATGGCCAAATGTGGAATTGCTGGGTCAGGGGGTATATATATATATATATATATATATATATATATATATATATATATACACAATTCCAGGGCTGAGAAGAGATTGAGCAAATTGCCCTTCAAAGTACCAACTCACAACACCCACCAAATGTGAGAATCCCTGATTTCCCACAGCCTCACATTTATAATGTTTTAAGAATGAAATTGCCCATTGTTTCCCCCGCCCCCTCTGAGCTCCTTTGTTTTAAGGCAGTGTTTCCCAAACTTCTCTCATGATGAGAATCACCTGGTGGAGTTGTTAAAATACAGATTCCTGAATCTCAACCAAGAAGTGCTAAACTAGAATTTTTGGGAACATATAGGTAAAATTGTGTACTTAACTAGTGCTCTAAGCTTAAGACTCAGGAATCTGTAGTTTAACAACTCCACCAGGTGATTCTCATCATGAGAGAAGTTTGGGAAACACTGTTTTAAGGTAATGAGGGCCTGGTGGGCGTGAGGGGTGGGGGGTGGGAGAGGGCCTTAGGAGGTGAACTCGGGGTGGCTGCTGACTGCCAGGGAGGGAGAAGCTCTGAACACTCCGAGCTGAACACCCAGCGTGGTGCCAGCATGCGCAAGAGTCATGCTGCCAACCTGCTCATCCAGTCTGGCCACGGGCTCCTCCCCTCACGCCACCAGCTCGGACCTCCCCGCCTCGGGGTCAGCAGCCTGACCTGACAGCTGCACTCCCTCACCTCCCAGAATTCCAGAGGGGAGTTGTCACCCAAAGGAAACAAGTCTGGCCTCCCTGGCACCACACCACACACCTAGGCCTATTCATAGCCGGATTGCACAACCGGCTGGAGGAGAGGCGGCCGGGCTGGGGAGCGCTGTGCTCCTCCGGGCTGGCCCTGCCCCAGCGCCCTTCCTTCGGCTTCCAGAGCAGCTGCTCCCTGGGGACTCGGGAGTCTCCGGGGTCTGAGGGCTCTTCCTTCCCAGCGGGGGACTGGCTCCTCCGAAGGAAAGGCTCTGACTCTCTGCATAGGTCCTCCTGCTGCGCCATGCAGGCTGGCCCTCGGGATAGAGGGAGGCCTCTCTCGTCAGGGAACGCAGAAACCCAGAGGCAGGCTTCAACCAAGAGGAAACGGAGTCACTCACTAGTAAGCCCTGGGTGTCTTTGTGAGGAGCCAGTGTCATGCAGGAGGGGAGGGAAACGCAACTTTGGGGTGGTCACAAGCCAGTCAGTCCACTTCTCTGGGCCTCTGTCTTC